GGGGGTCCGGTCCCCCCAGGACCCCCCTAGCTCCGCCAGTGCTCGGAGTGTTTATTCTAAGGTTGATTTTACAACACTTTTTCATTTTTCGCTCATGTTTGCTTGAATTTCACCAATTGAAGTTACTAACTCGATATTTAATGATTCTCTCTAAATTTGAGTGTCTTAACCTCCAACCTTTATCTAGACTAATAACCTTACTAGAAATATAAACCTCGAATTAAGTATCAAAGGCTTAGGTTGATAGAAATATATATTGCTTATAATTGTTTTACCAATGACTCAACACACTTTGGTGTGTTTTTCTTTTCTTATTTTTTCTTTTGTGTCTCTTCTTCTATTTTTGATATCTCTTCTACAATTTCGAAGGTAATTTTCACTCTACATTGTAATTAGTCTTTTTTTTTTTTTCCGGTAGATCGTCTCCTATACATTAGTGATGAATAGGGTCTGATTACTCAAGACTAACTCCATACAAGAAAATATATATCTTTTTTCTACTTTCCACAACTAGTGAAATGCCTTTTTTGCATAGGTCATTAGGATCAAATCCCCAGCTAAAGGCTCTCCATACAAGTATTAAACAAGTTGAGATCAACACATATCCAAATAGCTTGCAGCATCGGATCAACCATCCCGAAACTAATCATTTCCAGTAAGTTAATTTATGATCTTGTTATTCGTTATAAGTTCATTCAACCTATAGTATCACTATAATCAATCCACAAATGCATGCTATCCTTATGACAATTGTTCTCATATTATAACAAACTTGGATGAGTATCAAATTAGCAAAAATAGAAAAATAGTTTATTTACCTACTCACAGTTCACGAAATATAAACAATTTCAAATATTAATCAATTAGTCGGCACTGATATCCAACTCACATAAATACACAGATAACCAAAAAAAAATAAAATTGAATTTTTCTATATTTTTTAATATTTTTGAATTTTATGGTAAATCACACAAAAACACAATACCTAGATGATGAAGGTGTTATACCTCCAACTTAAAATATATATTATCCTAAATGTTTGTATGATTACGAAGGTTAGGTATACTCATCGTGTTTATGAATACACTCTTCTTAGCAATTGACGTTAACGATTCAAGCTTCGTGCCCTAGTCGTTAACTCATTTCGTACTCTCCACTTTGAAAGAACATCTGCCCTCTTAAGTTCTCATGAATTTTTATCTCGTCCCCCAAAATTCAAACTCAAAACCTCTGCCTTATGAGGAACTCAAGTTGAATTCTAGTATCAATTGAACAAGTATCCTTCTTTCATTTCTTTTGCTCATTTTGCAACATTTCTCCATCATACATAAAAAAAGAAAGTACAATTCATTACGAATATAATATCACGGGAGTCGAGGCTAATCCCTTACGAATTGTGAATGTAGGATGAGAGGAAATTCAACATGATTGTGATGTTAGAAATACTATCCTAAATATAGAATACTAAAATAAACATAAACCGAACATATTTAAATGTGCCTAAATATTATATGCAATCTAACTCAATACATGCAATACAATTTCAAGAAGCAAAATAAATAAAAAAAGTTCAGAAATTGTGTTGTTTCTTAACAATCGCTTGTTTATAGTCCTAACCCGACTTTTGCAACAATGTTCACGGCACTTTGAATAGAATCTTTTTTATGCCTTGCTTAGTTTTCTTAGATTGACTTTGCACCCCTCTTCATTAATCCTCCAAACCTATAAGTTTCCCCTTTTAACATAATGTGATTTGTCCATTCGACCCGATTCAAACTCAACTATGCATACTTTGATCTCCACATCGATCTTAATCACAAAATCAATTATTGAACAATCAATGAAATAGAAGAATTCCATGATTATTTTTACTTCATTGAATGTTAATGCTTAGTTAGTGTTCGTGCGAAACCTGCAAGCGTACGAAATCAATAACAAGTAATAGAATTAATGAGTCGAGAGTATCGTCCCATAATGAATAATTTCAATTCAAGTTTACTAATCTTATATTGAATTCGAATAAGGTGACACAAAAGAGATTTTGATTTGTAATTATTTTAATTTAATCTAAGAAATATACAAACTAGGGTTCTTATCAATTTATGGATAATTATATTAGATTTTGAATCCGCCTATTGCTATATATTTCAATTCTCAATTATGTAATCATATTCATGTGTTCTTGACAATAAATAAAGTTGTCGACATCTGACCTCTGAGGTCATCAAGTACATTTTATTGTATGCATTAAGTCCGTGCTTATTTAAGCTCTGATATTTTGAGATCAGTTCGGATTAGTTATTACTGAAGTTCGAGGGGACATAATGATCGAAGATTCACTACACCAAATATGGTTTTTTCAACACTCAAAAGGCAACATTTGTTGATTAAATTTTGCTAAAGAAGTCTATCGCAACATTTTAATAAGCGAATATTGCCATTGGTTAATTTAAATGAGCTTTCGCAATGTTTATTGAGTGTTGCGAAAAGTTTTATTTCTCGCAATATCAAATGTTGCGAAAATTCCACTTTTGCAAATTTTTTGGAACGTTGCGAAATGTCTCACTTTTTGCAACGTTTTTTGAACGTTGCGAATGTCCCACTTTGTGCAATG